AAGTTGGAGCAAAATCGGATTATCCTTTTTTCTTTCTGTGCAGTAAATTATTTTCTTTGAAAATGTTGACATTTTGTGGGGGAAGTACCAGAAAATGTGGACTGAGATTGCCCATATCCGAACTCGATCTAAGTTTAACAATAATATTACAATGTACTTCGAGAGTTATCGTGCGTCCCAACCAGAAAGACAAACAGACGGACGGACATCGCTAGATCTACTCCAAATGTTCTGAAACGGATTTGGTCCAATGAGACCTAGTATCTAAAACCGTTATTTCGATAAGCCACGTTTTGGCCGTATCAAGTGATATATACCCTCTTTAGCCATATGGCTAAGGGTATAATAATTTGTTTACTATAATTGATAAAAATTATAATTTTTGAATATTAGGTTTTGCTTGGAAACGAAGAGTATATTTAAAAAAAAAAAAATAAATACAATTTTATAAAACACATTTTTAATTTAGTAACATGTTTAACTTTCCATAGAATATAATAGTGAATAACTGATGTGTGCACAATAGAAGTTTTAATGCTCTTATAGTAACATATTTTGTTCCTTCGCATATAACTTCTTCATAGACGAAATAAATCATCTGATGTCGCATAATTTATCATTTTTTTGTTTTTTTTTTTTTTTTTTTTTGTTCTAAAATTCATTTGACGAAAATTATTTCAATTTGCATCAGTTAATTTCTTAGGTTGAAATGAAAAATATTTGTTGTTCAAAATGAAACCACATCTTTTCATTATATCCTCACATAAATATTTTAAAAGACGTTGCTGTGTTAGCACAGAATCATCGATGTTTTGTAATTTGGCCCGATGCCAACGAAATACGATTAATAATCATTGCAATACAAACAACAACTACTAGAAACATTCGAAATATTTGCAATGCTCTGTAAGAAAAAAAATATTCTATAGTGTCTCATCGATTGGTATCTGTTGATTAGAATGTTTTATTAATAAAATTAACACCGTCAAGACGAACAAACCAAAATAATTGAAAAAAATAAATATGTTTTCAAGATTCATAATTCAAATAAATAACCAGTAAAGAAAGTCTTAAAGTCGGGCGGGGCCGACTTTATGATACCCTACACCACTTTGCTAATTTAGTAGAGCTACACATAACAATTAAAAGTTTTTATGGGAGAATTCAATCATACACGCTATGATTATAATTATAACTTAAAGTTCAAAGGACTAAATATGCCGAAGCCTTTGTATCTTTAAAATTCGGAATTGTATTGCCCATTTGGATAAAGATATATATGGGAGCTATATCCAAATCTGAACCGATCTCGATAAAATTTGGCAAAGATATTTCTGAGCTGTATTTGATATATTTCCCTGAATATCGTTGTTACGGAGTGCACATTACGGCGGCGGTGGACAAAAATAACAAATCGGATGAACAATATATATGGGAGCTATAGCTATATCTGAACCGATTTCCATCAAATTTAGCATACTAGCTTCTAGAATCAATTCGGTCGTAAGTGCCAAATTCAATACCATTTGGACAAATATTAGACGTTTGGTGCACAATAAAAGTAAATCGGACGAAGTTATATAATGGAGCTATATCCAAATCTGAACCGATCTCGATAAAATTTAGCAAATGTATTTCTGAGCTATATTTGATATATTTCCCCAAATATTGTTGTTGCAGAGTGCATATTACGGCGGTGGTGGACAAATATAACAAATCGGATGATCAATATATATGGGAGCTATAGCTATATCTGAACCGATTTCGATCAAATTCGACATACATATTCATATTCAGGCCTAATTTGGGTGTATATGCAAAATTCCATACAATTCAAGCCGATATTACACGTTTGGTGCGCAATAAAAGGCAAATCGGACGAAGATATATATGGGAGCTATATCTAAATTTTGACCGATTATTTCCAATTTCAATAGGACGGACAGATGGACGGACGGACATGCATAAATCGACTCAGAATGTGATTCCATGCAGATCATCAAAAGGAACTATGGGTCTATCTCGTTTCCTTCTGCCTGTTACAAACAAATGCACAAAGACATAATACCCTGACCACCTTGTGGTGTAGGGTATAAAAACATGCACACCTATAAATGTACACTTATAAATATATATGTAGTGAAAGAATTGGTTTTGTATGGGAAACGTCTGCCATGACTGCCATGTAATTTTCAATGATAAAAAAAGAAGCCTCATTAAAAAAATAAACCTTCGAAAATGCGTCATAGGCGAAATAATGAAATATTTTCTTGTCCAATACAATGTACAACACAGATTTAAAAATATCTTATTTAAATGAACATTTGATAAATAAATGCGTGAATGTTCGATTATTTAAATTTATTTTGACTTCTGTTATGATTATTCAAATTGTTGATCCTCTATGGAGTAGGTTCCGAAGGAATAGGCCTATATTGTCCATTACGTATCGAACCTAAATAAATGTGATATAAATATTGCGACATGCCAGGCTCGGACTATGGTGGTTTCTTCACTTTATATGTTACAATTTTTAGAATATGTTAAAATTGCGTGATATACCAGATATAGTCGACCGAAGTATTCAATTTTCATACTTCATCTAATACTGATAAAATTATTGGTATCGCAAAATTACAAGAAAATCGAACATTCACATCTAATTTTATGCGAAATCATAAATACCATACTTATCTCAAGTTTCTCAAGGTTGAAATAATGGGATGTTTGAAATAAGAGGAGAACCAGATGCTTATTTCAGATTTTGTGATCGATTCTGAAAGGAATCGAATGGTAATTTCGCGCTTTATAAGCTTTAAAATTTCACACATCCCACTATTTATATTAACCCAAGGAATATATCGATTTACTCCTTCTGGTATCTCCCCCACAAAAGTTCGAAATGTTGAATATCCATTAAGCTTCTAAACCACTAAATTAAGATCCACTTCTTCTGGTACCTCGCCCACAAAGGCTCAAAATCTTGAATATCCATTAAGCTCATTGACATTCGATTCCATTCACTTGGAACATCCAAATATTTCCGTCAACACAAGATCTCTTATAAAGATTGTAGAGACCCGACCATTTATTTGGCTACCTCCCCGCATTGAGTTCAAGATTTTGAAAAACACAACTATCAAGAACTCGAAATAAGCAATCAACACTCTTCAAATTTCACACATACAAAAATTTTTGCTTATAGAATATCTATTGTGCAGATGATATATATCTGTGAACCCTTTCTGATACCTCACTCATAAAGGGTCACAATTTTCCATACTTTTATCTGTCATAACTTGCGAAACAAGTCAGCGCTAAGGCCTACCGATCTATACCAATGTTGTCAACCTTTATTATTTTTTATATCAACATTTTGCGTTTGAAAGTTATCGCTTTTTGTCGGTAACTCAAATTATGAGTTAGAGAATCCCACTACAGGTCTTCCTATAGACCCCACTTAGAGGTACCTACCGATATTTGGTATTTTAATCATTTTGGCATCATTGTTCAACGGGAAAAATATATAACGCTCTAATACTACATTTCAGCTCTTATAGATATATGTTTTCAAAAGTATAACGTGCGAAATGTTGGAGGCTATTTAAAGTTCGTAGAGCTCAACTATTTTTGACATGTTGTATCATATATATCATATCATATAATCTTTATATTTTGAAATATAACATCACTTCATCACTTTTCAATTGACGATATAGATTAGATCTGTGTCAAAAAATGCACTCAAAATTCCTTTTTATTTCATAACAATTATCTCATCCAATTTCAAAGAATATGATTCCTCCAAAAAATTGTACATTGCATCCTATAATCCATCTAAGTTATATAAAAAATCTTTGTATTTAAATATGGCTGCTTTCAAAACAATTCCAAGAGAAATGTTAAAAATAAACAAAAAAATGTTTTTTTTTTTTCGTTTTGTAGTGGAACAACAATGAAGAAAAAATATCATCGGCGAATGAATATGAAAAAAAAATATTTGGTCTATATATGTAAAATAGAATATTCAAAATTGGATTGGTATCTACAATTTCATGCGTAATGATGAGCAGCTAGAAACGAATGAATTTTTTCATTATTGCACAATGGGTTTATATATATTTGTGTATACATACGAAATGCACCCACACAAGCGCATTATCGTCTAGACCCCGAGGAGCACGGATAAGGGGAACCAGTCACCCACCCACCCACACATCTGCAGAATGTATGTGTTCTTTTTTTTCTTTGGGGTAATGGTTTTGGCCCACTCAAATGCCAATGAAACAACTTTTGTTTGAAATTTAAAAAAAAATCAGAAATGTTTTGAAAAATATATGTACAAGGTGAGAAAGGCAGAACAACAACTACACAAACAATGCGAAATGAGACTAAACTAAACGCATACAATGAAATATAAATAGAAACGATTTTTAGTGAGCTGAAAGCAAAATACCACACATGTACAGGGGATCGAGTGTGTGGACCAAAGAGTAAGCCACAATGTTGGTGATTGTTATTATGTGGTGCTCTCACAATATCTGCTCTCTCGTACATGTGTAGATATAGCCATGAAAATACTGCCTCCAGTGGGATACACATGAGAATCGGTGTTTAATATTTCCCAATCCATGACTAACTGAGAAAACAAAGAACTCAGAGAATGAGTCTCACACACAAATTCTTTTTTGGGGGTTTTATTATTAGAATCGGTTGTGAGAGTTGTGTGGATAGTGAGAGCAAATGGCTTTCTTCTGCACGCAATAATACCCCACCCAGCCAGACGCTGTAGCATTGACTGACTGAGTATTTATGTATATAAAAAAATTATACCCTGTAGCTGCTGCCAACGAAATCCGACGAACGAACACGTACAACCTAAAAATGGTATCAGCGCTATACGAACGCTTACAGGTGTTTGTGTTCGTATATGTGTGAGTGCTTGAGATCCCTGATGATGTTGGCTAAACGTGTGATTTTCGTATGGCCCATTGTCTAAGTGTGTGGTAGTTTGCCGTTGTAGTTGTGGGAAAATTGGAAAATTTCTCGGCGAAAATTATTCTTCAAATATCATCGACGAATCGATAAAATCAGCCAGAACACTCACTGTGCTCCGTCCGTTCGTTTTACCTAGCGACTAACCAAAACTATCACCATGGTAAGGATACGAACCAGAACAAAGCATAATGAATTGTTTGAAAAGAAAAAAATCAACAAAAAAGGATTATTTTCAAAGGATATGGCGGGCACAAAATAAAATATATAAATTAATTAATAACAAAAAAATGTGAAACAGAATATGTAAAAGAAGTGGCAAAATAGTGAAATGCAAAATGGAGAAAAATATTAAAACTTCAAAACTCGAAAAAGAAAAATAAAAAAAAAAAACAAAAATTAACAAAAAATCAAAGGACTTACAAAAAAATATGTCAACTTTCTAGAAAAAAGGACAAGTTTGGTGTTCAAAGTTTTGTTCTAAAAATACGAATTTAAGTAATACGAGACATTTAAAATCATCATCATGAAGAAGAAGCACAAGATGTATTGATGTGTTTGTGTGTAAACTAGAGTGAGATAACACTATAACGCAATTCGTAATATCATATTGCGTCTGGTTGGACTATAAATAGAAATTTTTGTTCGTATATAAAGACTTTGAATATAAACCAAGTGAAAACTGTGTATGTGAATGTCGAATTTTATTATGAATTTATTGCGTAATTTATATGAAAGGAATTCTGAATTCATAGCCAGCCATTGCCAACACAAATTGAAATATCTTCATTATTTTTTGAAACAAAATTTATGAAGTGTTGAAACATATGTACATTTACAAAAAATATTGAAATATTTTTCACTTCAAGGTGAATTTGTAATTGAAATATTTTTTTTCGAAACGAAAATTGAATTTAAATAAAAAAAGGCGTGAAATGTAAATTACTATTTAAATAATTTCTTTAGGTTTATAAACCTTAAAAAAATAAGTCCTCTTATTTTTCTTGTTTCTAAAGTTTATAGCCAGTTTCGAAAAATTTAAACCGGTTTTACGGTTATTGGATTCGGTTTTATGGCTATTGAAACCGGTTTAGCGAATAAAAAAACCGATTATGGGACATATGTTTTCATTTCATAAATTACTTCTAATTTCAAATGACTTTCTTTTTCTTAAAAAAATTTATTTTGAAAATACAATCCTTTTGTTAAAAAGTTTAATAGATATGATGTCAAGACTCTTATTGTCAAGCCCACATGCCTTCCATGGCTAGCTCTATCTAACTCCCACAACGGAAAATGCAATTATATTTTTTTTTTTTTGAAAAGATTCTGAAATAAATATCAGATGTATGTAATATTTTTATTATTGCAACCTGAAATATATATCTTTCAATTGGATAAGGCTATTGAATTATCAAATAAGTCATATCTTAATGAATATTTATTGTGTTTAAGAATTCACTTAGATCCTTCTTCAACTTTATTTCAAATGATAAACTAAATTCTAAATATTTTAGATGATCATATTGATATTTTATTGTCACATTATATATCGGATTGGCTAGTGAGCGCACAGTTTCCTTCTCATTTATGACATTTATTCATTACATTTGGAAATAGTTACATAAATTGACGAATAAAATTCATGGAATAAACAAATTTGCTCATAATATCTATGAACTTATACCTATTTAATAAAATATAGGAATTGTTTATCTAATCAAGATCTTTTCCCATCTTTTTAAAAATAACGAATTATGGATTTTTTTTTTGAATTCATTTTACTTTCTGAATATATTTTTTAAGAATTTTGTTCATAAATCTACAAAGAATTCTCTCAAATTTATGAGTTTATAAAATAGTTTACGATTTTGTTCATAATAAAATTCATAATATCTACAACCATTTTAAATGAAATGAAAGTAATCTAAATTAAATATTTATTTATTTCATAATCAACCAAAAAAAAAAAAAAAAAAAAAAACTTAAAATCAACGAAATGTTCATTGGTTTTATGAAACAATTCATAAATTTCGCTAAAAAAAAACATAGATTTAATGGCAATTTTATCGATTTTATAAAATAAATTATGCTATTAATTACTTTATAAAACCTTCAAATTTGTTTAACTAAGCAATGAATTTTATGATGTTGTTCATAAAACAAATGAATTGTTTCATACGAAATCAAAGTATTTTATCGGTGGCCTCAAAAAAATTGCCTGGTGGTGATATCCTTTGAAAATAATCCTCATCACAAATTCGCAAAAAAGCGAAAAAACTAATTTTATTATGTTTTCCTCCAATAACTCTAGGCTGATGAGAAGAAGAAGATCAAGAAGAAGAAGACCAAGGAAGAGGGTGGTACCTCCGAAACCGCCTCTGAGGCCGCATCTGAGGCAGCAACCCCTGCACCAGCTGCCACCCCAGCTCCCGCCTCCACCACTGGCTCCAAGAGAGCTTCCGGTGGCAGCCGTGGTTCCCGCAAATCCAAGCGCGCTGGCTCCTCCGTCTTCTCTGTTTTCTCCCAAAAACAGATTGCCGAATTCAAGGAAGTAAGTATTTTTGGACAAATTTTTTAATTTATATTAAGACTAAAAATTGCCAAAATTGTTGGACTTATTTTCAAAATGAAAATATTTTATCAATGAAAATGTTTTACGTTGGAAATATGGCTTAAAAAGTTTCTTTAATACTGAAAATGTTGTTTTAACATTAAAAATGTTGCGTCAACATCTTAGATGTTGCCTTAACATCGATTTTTTTGCATCAACGTTGAAAATATTGTTTCACAATTAAAAATTAAGCTTTAACGTGGAAAATGAGGCCCAGACAATGAAAAATTCTAATAAGTGAAACCAATTTAATTGCAAATGTTAACAAAATTGTTAACTTTAAAATTTAAAATATTGCTTCAACATCGATTTTTTTGCTACAAAATTGAACATTTCTCATTTAAAAATTAAGCTGTAACGTGGAAAATAAGGCCCAGACAATGAAAAATTCTAATAAGTGAAACCAATTTAATTGCAAATGTTAACACCTGTAGTAATTTGTTCCATTAAAACAAAATTATAGTCTTAAAATATTTCCCACAATCCATTTTCTAAAAAAAATATATGTAACCACCGCTGTAGCTTAAAACCTTCGCTAATTTGCCATTACTATTGTTATTATTCTCCCCCTCATAGGCTTTCCAACTTATGGATGCTGACAAGGACGGCATTATTGGCAAGAACGATTTGCGCGCCGCTTTCGATTCCGTTGGCAAAATCGCCTCCGACAAGGAATTGGATTCCATGTTGAGCGAAGCCTCCGGTCCCATCAATTTCACACAATTGTTGACCTTGTTCGCCAACCGCATGGCCTCCTCCGGTGCTAACGATGAAGATGAAGTCGTCATTGCCGCCTTCAAGACCTTCGATAATGACGGTCTCATCGATGGTGATAAATTCCGCGAAATGCTCATGAACTTCGGTGACAAGTTCACCATGAAGGAAGTCGATGATGCTTACGATCAAATGGTTATCGATGACAAGAACCAAATCGATACCCAAGCCTTGATCGAAATGCTCACCGGCAAGGAAGCTGAAGAAGAAGAAGAAGCCGCCTAAATTTCATTTCATTTATTTTTTTAAATGTATAGATGTTTTTGTACACAACATTTTTTTTCTCTTCCAAAAAAAGAAAATGCCATTCAACACACTTTTAAGCACTTCTACTTTTTACTTTTAACTCCATAAGATACAACAAGAACAACCACAAAACAAGAAAACAAATCTCTAAAAAAATGATAAGAAAAAAAACAAATTTTCCAAAAAGAAAATCTCAAAAAAATATTAAAAAAATTAATAAAAAATAATCAATTGTTTTAATAATTGCAAAAACAAAACAAAAAAACATCTAAAACAATTTTAAAAAATCCAAAAAAAAAAAAAAAACGAAACGACGACTTGCAACGATAACGACCATAGGCTAAATGGATAAATGGACTATGAGCTGGAGTGGATGGATTTGAGAGTGAGTGTGTGAGTGTGGGGTGGGGAAAGTAAAATGCTTGGTATTTTGCCCATCTACCTCAACTGATCAACACACACGCACACATCCACAGCCCGCCTTTGCTAGGCATTGGAGAATAGAATGGAAATTCTTTCATATCGATTTTTCTGTGTGGAAAGGCGGGTTCCCCCGAATTATGACCCCAACCCCCCTTTGATATATATGATTTATTATGAAAACAAAAAACTATTATTATTTATTTATTTTATTTAGTTAAAAACAAAACTCGTTCGTTTGTTCGTTCATTGGTTATTAGCAAATTTTTACAAACAAAATGAAAAAAAAAAATTAAACAAAAAACATAGTTGTTTATAAAACACACAAAATAATTAGAGAAGAAAGAAATTTGATTTCTATGACTTATAGAGAGCCATTATTTCTTATGCTTGCCTTAAAACAACAACAATGCTTAATGTTTTAATGCTTGTTATTTATGTTTGCTATTACTTATACTAACCCACCCAAAACCTTGATGGGCTAAAAACAAAAGATGTTAAATTAAAAAAAAAATATATAGTTTGCCTTTTTTTGTTTTTGGTCCCAATATTTCTTCATGGAATTTCCGTTGAAGAAATGTTTGTTGTTATTACTAACAAATATTATTATTATTATTGATTGATTGCAAAAAAAATATTATCTCAAGAAAAAGAACACATATTTCATGTATTATTATAGTACTAGTTTATATATAAAGATTTAAATTAAAAAATATATATTTTTTTCAAATACCTGCTTGGCTGTTGGATGAACACAGAGTCCAGCCTAGTTGAGGGGAATTTGAAAAAAACGACTTGTAAACTTAATGGGAAGTTGCACATAAAACGCTTCCACAAAACAAAAAAACAACAAAAACAATGAGTTTCCTTGTTAAAAAAAAAACCAACTAATATTTGATTGAAACCTAATTAGCGGGCCAAAGAGAGAGAGCGAGACTTTCTCTTTGCGCCTGGCCTAGCTTTTAAGTTAACTTTCTAACAATTACATGGCGTGACGAGTTTACAATCTACCCTAGATCTACTATACTCATCTATATATAAACATATAATATCATTGCTTTATTGCTCAAATTGCAAGTGCAACAAAAAATTATTTTATTTTTCACTATATTTTTATTGATTGCAAATTTAAAACCGAAATCCTACTTTCCACCCAACATCTGACGAGAAAGAGGTAAAAATTAAATATTTTTTCTTTAACATCCAACAAGAATTACCAATCTAAATAAAAGTTCACTTGTGACTTGTATACTGTAAAACAATAACAACATGAATGTTAAGAACAACAATAATTTCTTAGTTTAAAAAAAATAAATATAGTTAAAACTCGAAAACGTTAAGAAAAAAAAAACAAATAATGATGATTTTATATAAATATTAAAAACAAACAAATACACACACAACTCTTACTCTAACTATTCTACTACATAATGATTTACAAAGATATACTGAAAAACAAAAAAACTATACTACTTAGCTGTATCCAAAAACATTTTTTTAACAAATCAAAAAAATGCAAACGAAACCTAAACATGTTCTCATAACTCAAAATTGTAGAGAAATATGAAAAAAGGCTTTCAATAAAACAAAAGAAAAATCAACGATTATCGTTATAAGAAACGTCTTGACAAAAAAAAAAAAAAAAACAAGCTTAAAAACCAACAAGCAAAAGAAATTTCTAGTTTGTTTTATTTAAAGAAAAAACGAAAAAAATCTAAGGATTCTCAAAATCCCCCCAAAAAAGTAGCCAAGAAACGAACACGAACTCTCTATCTCTCGCTCGCTCGCACGCCCAATGAACGAACCTTAAGAAATGTATTTATAAACTTAAATTTAAAATTCTCTCAGTTTATTTCCATACAGTATAAGAATAGCAGTAATACTCTTTGTACTCACACTACTCTTGCTCTCTCTCTATCTAGATTTAAATTTCTCTCTTCTCTTATTTTATTGTATTTATTGTATTGCTCGCACCGTATTGCACCACTACCAATGAAAATGCTCTTAGCACCAGCGTGACAACATTTCATGTCATTTGTTAACACAAAAATCAACCAAATTGTCCGTTTCCTTGACTGTGCAAGCATCAAGACCTCCCTTACAACGGAAATGCTTCACAATCACTCGATTATGAAAATGTTTTAAAATATTAATGAATGTTTTATGTTGTACTGGATGCCCGCCCGCACCCCTTTATATTTTCTATGTATGATCGTACTAATTGGTATTGATGAAGACTCAAAACACTATATCTTGTAGTTGTGGGTCAATAATAGTGTAACTAAAATTTCCAGAATTTTTTTAACGATCTAAAGAAAATTGAAGTTCTAATCGAAATTTATGATAAATGTCCCAAATAATGCAAAAATGATCAATAAGTCATTTAAATTTAAAAATGATTTGAATGCAAAAAAATACGAGTAAGTGAAAATCTTGATCAATATGTCGTTTGAAACCATAGCCAAACCTAATTTCTAATAATTTAGTAGTTTCACGGGAACGGTGCGAGCAAAACGTTTTTGCATAAGAAATGTTAGAATCAATTTTATTTACTAATCCAATTGCCCCTGATAGAAATTAAGGAATCAAGATAAGGTAGATATACATTCAGTTAGGGAAGAAGACTTAATGCTGACAGTATTCAGCATCGAAAAAATCCATACATATAAACTTGAAATCCAGAATATGGAAGTAGGAGGGACCAACTTTACGATACGAAACAACTTTAGCCTTGACTTTAAAACTTTCCCAAAAACAATGGACATGAATTCTGTTGATTCCTTTCACTTTATGTCACCTGGTTTTCTAATTCTTAAAGACCGATGAAGCGAGAATTAGAAGAAGAGAGAAGGACGAAAAACTTTAAGAAGCGTATAAGGGATCAGATGAATAATTAGTAAGGAGACATTTATCTCATTCCACGACTTGTTTATAAACAGTATGCTTTTGACATTGACATTGCTCGCAGATATACCGGGTGAGTTAAAAAAAAAACAAGTAAAAAAAGCAGTAAGTTCGGCCGAGCCGGACTTTGAATACCCTCCACCATTAGGAAATTTTCAAAAAATAAAATCCATTAAAAGTTCTGTTAAAATCTTAAAAATACCGAATCGATATTCGGTGCCGATATATTGGGGGGGATATACGGCATTGTGGACCTATACAGACAAAACTATGTTCGGGGGTAAAGTACTCACAATGAACTTCTTGTGTAGAATTTCAGACAATTCCCTTGAAAATTGTGGCTAAAATCATCAAAATACCGCCAAACTTACTTTCTTTTTAAAAAATACTCCAGACACAATAGTCCAACGGATTGGTATCCGGAGATTTTGGTGGCCATTGTGGGCTGGAAATGAAGCGAGGAAAGGTTTGCGGCCAAAATGTTTGCTTGCCCAAGGCTTTAATACACGATAATATTCGGCATTTATTCTGATGCATCTGCCGATTAATACGAGCGTAGAGCGAGCATCGGCTGTTATGGCGGCCCACACCATCACCATGGCTGGCGCTTGAGTTCTACCAAGGTGCACATTTTCAACCGACCTCTTTGGCAAGTAAACACGATCATTTTATTTATTTACAAATTGCTGGTCAATGAATGTCTTATCATCGGAGAAAACCAAATTCGGCAGTTCACCATTTTCGGCTAAGCGAAGCAACTCTTTAGATCTTTTGAGTCTATTTTCTTTCAGTGGCGGTGTAAGTTCTTGCACTTTTTGGAATTCCAATAGCTTTACCCCGAACTCATTTTTCAATATTTGGCGAATGGAACATTGCGATATTACCACTTGTTTTCTTCCGTCCACTTTTTTGACGTCGGGCTACGCTACCCGTATCACGGTAACGAGCGATGACACGAGACACAAAAGGTTTATTCATATTTAAATGCTGGAGTGCTCTAACGATAGCCACTTGTGGTTTTCCAGCCAAATATAAAGAAATCACACTATCATGCTTGAATTCCATCACGAATAAGTTGGTTGCAGTTTTTTCATCTTACCCTGTATACCCTCAGAGTTTGGCGATTTATTTAGGTGCATCCTTTTTATACCCTACACCACAAGGTGGTCAGGGTATTATGTCTTTGTGCATTTGTTTGTAACAGGCAAAAGGAAACGAGATAGACCCATAGTTCCTTTTGATGATCTGCATAGAATCACATTCTGAGTCGATTTATGCATGTCCGTCCTTCCGTCCATGTATTCTTGTGAGCAAAATGCAGGTCGCATTTATTATCCGATTGAGATGAAATTTTGCAAACAACATTTGTTTGGCCCAAGGGCGAACCCTATTGAAATTGGAGATAATCGGTAAAAATTTAGATATAGCTCCTATATATATCTTCGTCCGATTTGCCTTTTATTGTGCACCAAACGTGTAATATCAGCCCGAATAGTATGGAATTTTGCACATACAACCAAATTAGGCCTGAAAATAAGTATGCCAAATTTTATCGAAATCGGTTCAGATATAGCTATAGCCAGTTTGTTATTTTTGTCCTCCGCAGTCGTAATATGCACTCTGTAACAACAATATTTGGGGAAATATATCAAATACAGCTCAGAAATATCTTTGCCAAATTTTATCGAGATCGGTTCAGATTTGGATATAGTTTCCATATATATTTTTATCCGATTTCAAATTAATTTCGCACCAAATGGGCAATACAAGTCCGAATTTAAAAGATACAAATGCTTCGGCATATTTAGTCCTTTGAATTTTAAATTATAATTATAATCATAGCTCGGGGTAAAGTCATTGAAAATCCAAAAAGTTCAAGAACTTACACCGCAACAGAAAGAAAGTAGACTCAAAAGAACTAATGAGTTGCTTCGCTTGGCCGAAAGTGGTGAACTGCCGAATTTGGTTTCCTCCGATGAGAAAACATTTGTTGTCCAGCAGTTTGTAAGCAAACAAAGTGATCATGTTTACTTGCCAAAGAGGTCAGCTGAAAATGTGCGCCTTCGGTTGGCCACCAGAACTCAAGCGAAAGCCATGGTGATGGTGTGGGCCTCCACAACAGCCGATGGTTGCTCTCGACTCGTATTAATCGACCGTGGTATCAGATTAAATGCCGAATATTATCTCGAAAATATTCTGGAGGTTGTATTAAAGCCTTGGACCCGAAAACATTTTGGCCGCAGACCTTGGACATTTCAACAGGACTTAGCACCATCGCACTCAGCATGCGCAACCCAAGTATAATTACAAAAAGAGGTTCCTAGCTTCATTTCCAGCGCACAATGGCCACCAAAATCTCCGGATACCAATCCGTTGAACTATTATGTCTGGAGTATATTGGAATGCAAGGTAGGCACTGAAAAATGCCGAGCACCTGTGTCGAGCACCTTAAGCAAGCGATTCGTTGGCAATGGATCAAAATACCGCGTGGCAACATTCGGGCAGCGTGTGACGGTTTCCTTTGGCCGTTTGAAGGCCATAATTCGTGCCAAAGGTGACCAATTCGAACAAACTTAAACTTATTCTAAAATGTGATGCTATTTCCGACATTTTTTTGCTTTCATTCAATAAAATTAAAAAAAAAACAGTAAGGAAAGCTCAAAAGTCGGGCGGGGCCGACTATATGATACCCCACACCACTATGCATATTTAGTAGAGCTCTCGTTAAAAGGTTTATACAGGGCATTTCAGAGCTCTATGAGATATTTGATACAAAATCAAAATCTATCTAATTTTATCGTGCATTTTACGAACTATAGCTATCTCTGAACCGGGTTTCTCCAAATTTTACGTATTCTTCTTCTTCTTCTAGACTGGTGATTTGGGCTGATATTGACCATTTTGTGCACATTTAACCCGAAATCGGATGAAGATATATATGAGAGCTATATCCAAATCTGAACCGATTTCGATAAAATTTAAAACAGCTATTCCTGTGCTCCATCTAATACCTGGTACCAAATATCACGGTTGTGGAGTGAATATTACGAATGTATGGGACTAAAATTCTAAATCGGATGAAACATATATATGGTTGCTATATTTATATCTGAACCGATTTTCACTAAATTTGATATACTTGCTTCTAGGCTGAATTTTGTCCGATGTACTAAAATTCAGTCCATTTGGACTTATATCGGCCATTTGGTGCACAATTAACCCGAAATCGGATGAAGATATATATGGGAGCTATATACAAATCTGAACCGATTTCGATAAAATTACAAACATCTATTTCTGGGCTGCATCTTATATCTGGTACCAAATATCATTCTTGTGGAGTGCATATTACGAATGTGAGAGGCTTAAACACCAAATCGGATGAAAGATATATATGGGAGCTATAGCTATATCTGAACCGATTTTTTCCAAATTTGATATACTTGCTTCTAGGCTGAACTCGGTTGGGTGTGCCAAAATTCAGGTAATTTGGAGTGATAGTGGACATTTGGTGCACATTTAACCCAAAATCGGATGAAGATATATATGGGAGCTATAGCTGTTTCTGAACCGATTTTCTCCAAATTTGTTGTATTTGCTTTAAGGCTAATCTCGGTCACATGTGCCAAAATTCGGGCCATTTGGGCTGATATTGGTCATTTGGTGGTCAATTAACCCGAAATCGGATGAAGATATATATGGGAGCTATATCCAAATCTGAACCGATTTCAATAAAATTTAAAACAGCTATTTCTGTGCTCCATCTAATACCTGGTACAAAATATCACGGTTGTGGAGTGCATAGTAGGAATGTGAGGAACTTAAAGATCAAATCGGATGAAAGATATATATGGGAGCTATAGCTATATCTGAACCGATTTTCTCCAAATTTGATATACTTGCTTCTAGGCCGAACTCGGTTGGGTGTGCCAAAATTCAGGTAATTTGGACTGATAGTGGATATTTGGTGCACATTTAACCCGAAATCGGATGAAGATATATATGAGAGCTATATCTAAATTTGATCCGATTCTCACCAATTTCAATAGGGTTCGTTCTTGGGCCAAAAAAATATTGTTTGGAAAATTTCATCTCAATCGGATAATAAATGCGACCTGCATTTTGTTCACAAGAATACATGGATAGACGGACGGACGGACGGACAGACGGACGGACATGCATAAATCGACTCAGAAAGTGATTCTATGAAGGTTCTCAAAAGTAACAATGGGTCTATCTCGTTTCCTTCTCCATGTTACAATCAAATGCACAAAGACATAATACCCTTACCACTATGTGGTGTAGGGTATAAAAATTAAAAATTATGGCGTTTGACTTTGTTGCAGTTTTTTATCGCACCCTGTATGTGCGCTATAGGAAAACGTAGACCTATCTAGAACCCATTATAACATACAAACACCATTTTTTTAGACAAATCCTTGAAAAATGTGGCAAAAATCATACCAAGTTCCGCCACAGAAGCTAGAACCCAATACTAACTATAAATATCGATTTCGTGGAAAATGTGCCAAGAATCGTCAAAATACCGAATATCGGGTTGTACTGTTATATGGGCCTATACGAAAACGTGGACCTATACATACAAGGTTCCGCCATTGAAGCTAGAACCCATTATGACATACAAATAATAATTTTTAGACAATTCTGTCCGATCCGACAATTCTGATCAAAATACCGAATATCAGTAGGAACCGTTATAAGGCGGCTATACCAAAATGTGGACTGATATATAATTTTCAATGCCAACCATCCTAGACACAATACGTATTGTTGTGTCAAATTTTGAAGCTCTGCGTCAAATAATTTGGACTGTATCGTGATTTCAACAGACCGACATTTTTAAATCGACTTAGAATCTTATGCTGATCATGAATATATATACTTTATGGGGTCTGCAACGAATATTTAGGGATGTTACAAACGGAATGACAAAGTTAATGTACCCTCCTTTTCAAGAGTATACAAATAAAGAATACCAACCAAGGTTGTTGTAAATGATTTGGGACACCCTGTATTTAAAATAAAATAAAGATTCAAGTACTCTTTTAATGTAGCTTAAAACTAGAAATACATATCTGCCGGCTTTATAATAAATAACCGGTTTAAGAGTCTAGCAGTTACAGCTGTTCTCTAAGCTATAAAAACATACAACTACGCATATCACGATCAAAACAAAACTGACAGTAAATCTGCCGCAAAAAGAAAACTAACTAACAATTGAGCATGCGCAACACATCGTAGCCAAGGCAATAAAATGTCTCACTCTCTCCTTAGCACCAAACGCTATGCATTTTGCGTTGAAATAAACAAATCCCCAATCTCTCGCTCAGCCTTGTCATTTCCGCTTTAAACCACCAGCAAGTAGACCTTCAAGCCAGCTAGACACCATGTCTTGGCTCCGCTAAAGTCATCGCTCTCAGTTGAGTTTAAGACACCGTTGCGGGAAGAGATTTTTTGTCGGACAACTTGCGATTTGCTGACGTTAATGAAATTCACACAATAACACGATACCGATGTGAAATAAAATACCGAGAAAAAAATGTGAAAGTGAAAACATTGTTTTGAAGAAAATTTTTAGCACGGAAAATAGTTTTGTAAATAAAATAATGTTCGTTTTTAGGCAAATAGTTTAAATTGCAAATTAAAATATAACTTCAAAATATATCTGCAGAAAATATTAAATTTATAAGTTGAAAATGTTAATCATCAACAATGGTCCACATTTCTTTGTCTTGGTCTTGTTGAGTATTGCGTCACAAGCTATGGGTATGTAGACGCTTGAAAAAAAGAAGTTGTTGCGTTTTTTAACAAAACACAGACAAAAAAAAACCATCCATAGCGTGTGAATCATTTTTGTTTTCAATTTTGTGTTTTGTTTGTGTTTTAGGACAACATTTAATTGCATATCTATCACAACATGGCCTACATGGCGAAATAACATTTCGCCAAGTTAATAATAGTCATGTCGAAATTATATCTGAGCTACAAACCACCCTCCAATATCCGGATCAAGTTTGGAGTTGGTCGGTGCGCAAATTTCCCATTGATTACACCAACACCGATACCAATGAGCGTTGTGCCCTTGATCGGTTGGGTGAACAAGTTCTAACGTTCGACGATGATTTGGAATATATTATATTGCCTGGTAATGAATCGACAACTTGGTTCAAGGAAATGCAATTGATTGGTAAGTAATTTGTACACATGTTTACAAGTAAACCAGTAAAGAAAGTCTTAAAGTCGGGCGGGGTCGACTTTATGATACCCTACACCACTTTGCTAATTTAGTAGAACTGCGCATAACAATTAAAAGTTTTTATGGGAGAATTCCATCATACACGCTATGATTATAATTATAATTTAAAGTTCAAAGGACTAAATATGCCGAAGCATTTGTATCTTTTAAATTCGGACTTGTATTGCCCATTTGGTGCACAATTAATTTGAAATCGGATAAAAATATATATGGGAGCTATATCCAAATCGGAAACGATCTTGATAAAATTTGGCAAAGATATTTCTGAGCTGTATTTGATATATTTCCCCAAATATTGTTGTTACGGAGTGCATATTACGGCTGTGGGTAACAAATATGAGAAATCGGATGAACAGTATATGTGGGAGCTATATCTATATCTGAGCCGATCTTCACCAAATTTGACATACTAGCTTCTAGACTCAATTAGGTCGTAAGTGCCAAATTTCATTCAATTTGGGCAAATGTTAGACGTTTGGTGCACAATAAAAGGTAAATCGGACGAAGTTATATATGGGAGCTATATCCAAATCTGAACCGATCTCGATAAAATTTAGCAAATGTATTTCTGAGCTGTATTTCACATATTTCCGCAAATATTGTTGTTGCAGAGTGCATATTACGGCGGCGGTGGACAAAAATAACAAATCGGATGAACAATATATATGGAGCTATAGCTATTTCTGAACCGATTTCGATCAAATTTGGCATACATATTCATATTTAGGCCTAATTTGGGTGTATATGCAAAATACCATACAATTCGGGCTGATATTACACGTTTGGTGCACAATGAAAGGCAAATCGGACGAAGGTATATATGGGAGCTATATCTAAATTTTGACCGATCATCTCCAATTTCAATAGGATTCGTCCTTGGGCCAAACAAATGATCTGTGCAAAATTTCATCTGGATAGGGCAATAAATGCAAACTGTACTTTGTTTACAAAAATACATGGACAGACGGACGGGCGGACGGACGGACATGCATAAATCGACTCAAAATGTGATTCTATGCAGATCATCAAAATGAACTATGGATCTATCTCGTTTCCTTTTGCCTGTTACAAACAAATGCACAAAGACATAATACCCTGACCACCTTGTGGTGTAGGGTATAAAAATAAGTTAAAAGGTTGGTTTTGCCGACAGATGTATACCCTCAGTCAATATTCGATTGTTTAAATGTATTTTGACTTCTATTATGATTATTCAAATTGTGGATCCACTATGGAGAATGGGCTCAATATTGTCCAAAGAAATGGTCCAATATTGTCAATTGGACCAAAATTGTCGGACCTAAATAAATATGATATAAATATTTCGACGTGTCAGGTTTGGACTATATCGGCTGCTTCCTTCACTTTACAGCGTTACTAAAAATTCGACATAGAGTACCCAAATATTCAACTTCAACAATATAGTAAAATGTTTTGTACGTCCATGTTACCTAAATACGCCAGGTCCATATCTTATAATCTCTAGTGGACCGATATTGTACATTTTCGTACCTGAACTAGCACTGATGCAAAGTTGGATTATCCTTGCTCTTTCTGTGCCAATATTTTTCTTTGAAAATGTCGACCCTTTGTGGTGGAGGTACCAGAAGGAGTGAACCGATATTGTCCTTCTCCGAACTCGATCTAAGTTTGATAATAATATTACCCCATACCAATTTTGAACCAGATCGGATTCTTCCTTCGAAAGAAATCGTGCGCACCAGCCAGCAGAGAGACAGATGGACGGACATTGATTGACTCCAAATGTCCTGAAACGGATTTGGTTCAAACAGATCTACGATCTAAATTACGATGAGGCACGTTTTGGCCGTATCAAATGATATAAAACTGCAATGTTCGGTCGGCTTTCAATAAAGTATGTGGATTCAATAATCAAGCGTGTTCCACTTTATGTTGCAAATACCAGCGTGATCGGTTGACAAATGCTGTTAAACTTTTTGAAATACCATTAATTTGTTGAAACCTTTATATAGTTGAAACACCGTGAACAAATATGTAGACAATATTCTATGATTATCTATTGCCTATCCTAAATACCAAATTTAAAACAAGTACGTGGGAAAATGTGGCTAGAATCAAAATCATGCCGAATATCGGACGATACAGTTACATGGAAACCGTGGACCAATATGGACAATATTCTGACACTGGTGTTAGAACTAAATATAAACAACAAATAGCAAATATTAGAGAAATCCGATAGAAAACGTGGCTTAAATCGTCAAAATACCGAATATCTGGAGGTACGGTTACATGGTCGATATATGAAAACGTGTAGATATATATGCAATGTTCTGCCTCAGGCCCATTCAAAACTAAAAATATCAAATTTTAGACAAATCCGTTAGAAATGTGGCCTGAATCGTCAACATACCGAATATCCGAAGGATCCTTTATGTAGGGGCTATAGTAAAACGTACACCTATAGCTTTGCAATGTTTTCGATACCTTTAGGGAAAAATCGTGTATTATAGTAGAAACATGTGGCTAAAATGATTTGGAGTAATACGAAAACGTGGATCGATAAAGCTCTACGTCAAATAATGTGGACTGTATCTTGAATTTAACAGACAGATGGACATAGTTAAATCGACTTAGAGTTTATAGCTGATCTGGAATATTTAAGTGATGGGGTCTCCGACTAATATTTAGAGGTGTTAGTAACAGAATGAAAAACCTAATACGCTTCGAAATTCGTAGACATTTGAAGAGGGGAAGTACCAATATTAAGCGACTATACCAAGTAAAAAACACCCGCAGGCCAGTTTATACCCTCTTACATCATAAAATCTAGATCCAAACCGTTCGGGTTGCTTTACCAAAAATCCCATTTTTTTTTTTTTCAAAAATCGGAAACAAATTTCCTGAGACATACCACAGAGTGATATGGGCTATAAGAAGGCCTTTTTATAACCTCCAATATACGTAGTATGGAGGGCATATTAAGTTCGTCATTCCGTTTGTAACTCATGAAAATAATAATTTTAGCCCTGGCCGTCTGTCAGTTTGTTCGATACGAATCTAAAATTTTACACGTATTGTCTGCAGGCAGGTCAAGTTCGACGATGGGCTATATCGGTCCACGATATCGTATATTCGGTATTTTGACGATTTAAGTGGCATTATTTACCGGAGTTGTTTCAAATTTCGTATTTTGAGTTCGTAGTGGGAACTACAATCCATGACAGAAAATTGTATATGCAGATCCAGATCTTCGTACACGGTATTTTTATGATTTTAGCAGTATTTTTCAGCGGAATTAGTTGAGATTTGCTAATTCCTTCGAAATGACCGAGGGTATTCAAGATTGTGCCCGAACGAAGTAACCACTTTTCACTTGTTTTTTTTTCAAGTTTGTCGAACGAAAACTTTTTTGAAAAGCTTTTATTTTGTCTCGTATTTAGGGTCTATACGACGACATGGACCAGCATGGGCAACTTTTGTCATATTCATTGCAATATTCAAATGTGCAACTTAAAAAATCGGTGAATAATGTAGCTAAAATAATCAAAATACGGAATATCGGTAGGTACCGTTATATAAGGGCTATACGAAGAAGTGGATGTGTAGTATCCGTTTCGAACTTCAAATATCAAATTTGAAACAATTCCGGTGAATAATGTCGTTAAAATCAACAAAATGCCGAATACCGAATACCGTTTTATGGAGGCCATACGAAGACGTGAAACTGGAACAGACAATTTGCTGTCATAGGCTGTAGTATCAATTACTAACTTCAAATACCAAATTCGAAACAATTCCGAACAAATATCAAAAATAAAAAAATATACAACATTTTTATTAAAATCAAGCTTCAAAACTTCACTTCGACTGTTAAATTGTATCACCGTAATATTTCTATCAAACTTGGAACCAGTTCGAAGACGACATATTATCATATGTATCTCTTTACCATCTTCCCCTCGTTCATTGATTGAGGGTATATATCTGTCGGCGAATATTGAACACTAAACCTTTCTTACTCTTCTGTTACAAAGCAATGCGTCAATTTTCTGTTTTTACAGGTCCCAAGGGCATTTGGGGTAAATCTCTGGTGTTGACGGAAATTTCGCGCAACGTTCGCGTCTGTGCCACCATAACGACCATACAAATGTCCGTAGAACATGTAGCCGAGGCACGTTTCAATACCCCCGTAGCTGGTTCGGTATATTTTCGATGGTTGGCACCCACCGATGAGGCGGCGGGAGATACTCTGATATATTCCGATCTCTATCACATACAATCACAGCCACTCAATTCGGATCCTAGTCAGCCGATGACAAAACATCGTTGGAAAATTTTCGTAACAGATATTCTGAAATTTGATCATCATCGTACCGAGGATAATTGTAATTTCTTGCAATTGGTATTCGATCCGGCGGGGGAGGGTGAGGGACGTGGTATCGGAGATTTGGATAGTCGTTTGGGTAAATTGCGAGTGGCTAAAAATGCCCTAAGATCACCACAGCGGGTGGTGTTCCGCGATGAGAAATTGGCTCTACTGCCGTCGGATTTGACGATACCGCATCGTACCTTGTACTTGGTATTGTTCGAGGATCAACATCCGGATAATTTTCTGGCATGTACCCAGATAAGGAGGGTGAAGCCGTTAACATATAAGTATGATAAAGGTATTTGTTTTTGGAATGAATAATATAATGAATTTATTTGCAGGTCTATTGTAAACCATGAGGGCATAAAAGGAGAAATCACCATGACCCAGCGCTCCAAATTCGATCCCACCTTTTTGAACTTCACCATGAACACTGTAGCCGAAAATGCCACCAATGTGGCAAGGAAATTTGCCGAAGACGTGGCTGCCTTCAGGATACATCAGCTATCACCGGTACCATTAAAACTAGGCTTGCCGGGATATTGCGAATCCACTGGCGAAATGTATAATCCTCGAGAAATTGAAAAGGACCAAATACCTCCGGCGGGATTTGGCACTCAAGATCAGTATCCGATTGGGGATCTAAGTGGCAAACTGCAGAGTCGCAATAAAAATTATTATCATCGTTATTTCCTGCCTGGGACAAGTTCGGAATTAAATGGTTTGTACTGGGATACATTTTTACCTCTCCAAGGTTTGGAGAGTATTGCTCATCGTAGTTTGGTAATATTCCAATACAATCGGACCCAATTGGAGAATATAACCGAAATGATATGGGACTGTGCCAATATCAATCAGTATCAGCCGAATGGGATTTATCAGAAACCCATGTTTACAGCCCAGGTACTTTTCCGCTACCCCATTGTGGGTAGGGTTCTGTTTCGGCAACCAGCAGAGGAGCCTTGGCAGGATACCACGGTGATTTTTGAATATCTCATTCATGCCGATGGCTCGACCCAGAATAACACATTTGCCCATCGTTGGGCCATACACAGCAGTGCACCGGGTAAAGATTTCTATGATTGGCAAAATCGCTGTCTGTCTGCGGGAGGAATTTTCAATCCGCATAAGGTGGATTGGGGTAATCGTTCGGTGGAGGATTATTGTAGTGCTCGTCTGCCGGGAATGTGTCAAGTGGGTGCCCTGGATACCCGAATCGGGACCCTAAATATTGCAGGCAGCAAACAAAATGCTCAGCAAATAAGTCGACGCATGTTCACCGATACCAATTTGCCGCTGTCCGGAAGACATAATATTTTGGGGAAGTCACTAGTGCTCTATGATGATTTCGGGCCTCAGGCGAGAGGAGAAAGATTGGCATGCTCCATGTAAGGGAAATCCAATTTAAAATTCCGATTCAGCCAATCAAAACTCCTTCCCACTTTACAGAATTATAGGTCATTATCGCCGCAAGGTGGTGGCCAAGGAATGGTATGCCAATGGAGATGAAGTCAATGTGATTGGTAAAGTTGAGGTCACTCAGCAGTCGGAATATGACATTAGCAATATTGAGGTTCAGCTTAAGGGTCTCAATGAAAACAGTGGTTATCACATACATATGGTACGATGCTCGGCAGTCTTCCCCTCTCTAAAAAAATTAAATCATTTTTTTCTTTCTTTCAGACCCCCGTTGAAGACAATCTGGCCTTTCCGTGTGAAGAAACAACACTCTACGGCCATTTCAATCCATTCCAAGTAAATCCCAAGCATTCACCCCCACCTCGCCATGGCAGCACAGAACAATATGAAATGGGTGATTTAAGTGGTAAATTTGGAACGCTGGACAAACTTACCCAGTATGAGGGATATTTTAACGATACCCAGCTACCATTGTTCGGCATAAATAGTATCATTGGTCGGTCGGTAGTTATCCACAAGAAACGACGTAATGCCCGCTGGGCCTGCAGTACTCTAGAACGAGGCTATTCACCCAGTGAGGCAAGAGAAATTAGAGCAATTGCCTCATTTCATCATCCCACCGGCTATGCATATGGTTATGTAAAAATGACCCAATTGATACACAACGATGGTAGCCAATCGGATACGGTTTTGGAGGTGAAGTTACGACATCCCGGTAAAAATGATCGAAATGTGGTAAGTAAGTTATAGGGATGCAGGTGCAGTAATTCATCATTATATAAGAGTGAGTAACTAACTGACTGATTCATCGATGCATTTGGAACGAGGGTCGCGGATGGGGTGTAGGATAGATGTACATGGAATTTTTGGGAATTTTAACGATAAACGTAATAAGGCACTAAATTTGGTACCGTTTGGTATTATATGAATGGATAGGGCTAAAATCCCGATATAATGAGGCGTTTTTTGGGGAATGCGTACTACAAGTATTTGAAAAGAATTAGATTGTACTTAATAACTGCTAAATTTGTCGGCAGATCACCACTTTCGGCCAAGCGAAGCAACTCTGTAGCTCTATTGAGTCTATATTCTTTCTGTTGCGGTGTAAGTTCTTGAACTTTTTGGAATTTCAATGGCTCTACCCCGAGCTCATTTTTCAATATTTGCCGAATTTAATATTGCGATATGTTCCGCTCACGAGCCATTTTTCGACCACTGCGACGCGGGTTTCGATCAAGTCGCTTCTTTAATTTTCGAATCATTTCTGCTGATGTTGCTGTTTTGCAGGGTGATGCAATATCAGCTTCAAATTGAATAGATTTTTTCATATTCAACCGAATTCTTCCAATTGGTGAAACTCGGTCTGGTAAATCTAGTTTTTATACAATTCTTATCGAAGTCACTGCACTTTTGTTTTTAATCGAGTGAAGGTGTTTTTTAGAGTTATTAAATAAAAAACGGGCTTCGTCGAACATATATTTTTAATTATTTTTTAATTAAGTCTTCTCCTTTTTCAGACGCGTAATCATAATTGGCAGATTTTCGTCAATCCCGTTGGTGTTGATGCTGCCGTTAAGCCAACAATTACGAGATGTGTAGCTGGTGGTTATGTTTGGAATCCGTACTTTACACAATTAGCAGATCCATTGAATGTAAGTACTCTCAGGTTAGAAAACATGTAGGTATACTATTAATCCCCTTTTGAGTTTATCTCGGGGCAATACACCAAGAATTATTCTTGTATAATTTTTGAAATGTTGAATACTTTGTTTTACAGCGAGATTTATATGAACGTGAATGTGGTCCTGATAATCCTTTGCGCTGCTACGTGGGTGATGTTGGGGCCAGACTGGGACCCATAGGTGAGTACCTTATGGACACTTAAAAGAACAAATCACGTATTAATTCTGTTTTTTTTTTTACTTTACAGATCTTGGAGCTGAACGTAAAGTTTTTACAGACCCCAATTTTCCCCTGGAAGGTCCGGTGGGTGCCATTGGTCGTTCGTTGGTGATATTTGCACCCGATTTCTCGGGAGAACGATTTGCCTGTGCAAACATTGAACCCGATCACAATGTCATCAAATATATAAATCTGCAAAAACCTCCAAGATTTGTGGTGTAAGTAAAAGGGAATTACTCCAAACATTTTCAAAATAACTTGTAATCCCCTAATGTTTGGTAAACAGGGCCCAATTTCTGGAAGAATTACGCTCGGTTATGGGAATACCCGAATGGATGCTGGATGTAGATGCGCGCAAAACTAAAGAGTTACATGGTGGTTCTTGCATTCAAATGATTATACATTTCAAGGGCCCGATTGCTCATCGTCTGGAGTTAGATATGTCGCGGCTTATTGCCGCTGGGCGTTTGGATGCTCCTAGCTTGTATATACCCGGTTATGTAAATACAAAACGTAAAGCTACAATCTCGTATAGAACATGTGGGGTACGGGATCGTAATGAACGTAAGTGTCATTCAAAAATTTCAATCTAGTTTCAGATTAACATTTTAGTGTTTTCTTTATAGGTAATAAATCTCATAAGGGTGGTTCCTCGGATTCCATACAGAATGAACATAATTTAATACTGTTAATATTACTTAGTGTATATTCATTAAGAGCGTATCTGTTTTAAGTTGTAATCAAACTAGATATTTTGAAGTGTAATCAAGTTTTTTGTACATATAAGCAAGTTAGAAATTTTCAAAGCGACTCTTTATATAACCAACCAAATGTAACTGAAAAGTACTGTTATTTTGACAGAATTTCGGCATGAAAATATTGATTTATTACCAGAATGTATTAAAAATTCACGATTTCCTGTCAGTAGTTCCGTTAGTAACTCTTTCCAAAAAATCCAAATATTCTTAAAAAAAAACAGGGCATCAGGAGTACATTAAATTTTTTTAAAAAACATTTTATTTTTTGTAAGAGAACTTTTAAAAAAATATAAAAATAAGATCTCGAACAAAATCTAATGATAATCAATTCGAAGACCCTGTCACAAATAGCAGGAATGTCTTTGAAAATATTTTTAACACAACCTCAATACTTGGCTTGTAATTCCTTGAGAGCATTTTTTATGTAACCACAAATACAGCGTTAGATGAAAAAACTACAACCAAATTCAGACTGCTGTCATTTCTAAGACAGCTATTAAAATTATTCCATTGACAGCTCATTATATTCTTTACAAGCGTACAAAAGCATTTTGGTGAGAATTTTCTAGAAAAAAAGTTATTCGTGATGAAATTCATGCGTGGTAGTGAGGATTCATTATATTTGAAAACCACAAGTGGCTATCGTTAGAGTACTCCAGCATTCTCGTACTATCGCTCGTTACCGTGATACTGGTAGAGTCGTCAAGGAAGTGAACGGAAGAAAACAGCAACATCAGCAGAAATAATTCGAAAAGTTAAGAAGCGACTTGATCGAAACCCGCGTCTCAGTGGCCGAACAATGGCCCGAGAGCTGTATATATCGCAATATTCCATTCGGCAAATATTGAAAAATGAGCTCGGTGTAAAGCCATTGAAATTCCAAAAAGTGTAAGAACTTACACCGCAACAAAAAGAAAATGGACTCAAAAGAGCTAAAGAGATGCTTCGCTTGGCCGAAAGTGGTGAACTGCCGAATTTTGTTTTCTCCGGCGAGAAAACATTCGTTGTCCAGCAGTTTGTAAACAAACATAATGATCGTGTTTACTTGGCCACCAGAACTCAAGTGCCGGCCAAGGGGATGGTGTGGGCCGCCATAACAGACGATGGTCGCTCTACGCTCGTATTAATCGACCGTGGTATCAGAATAAATGCCTAATATTATCGCGAAAATATTGTGAAGGGTGCATTAAAGCCTTGGGCACACTAACATTTTGGCCGCAGATGTTGGACATTCCAACAGGTCTCAGCACCATCATTTCCAGCGCACAATGGCCACCAAAATCTCCGGAGAATATAAATGTATATATACACATATATATATATATATATATATATATATATATATATATATATATATATATATATATATATATATATATATATATATATATATATATATATATATATATATATATATATATATATATATATATATATATATATATATATATATATATATATATATATATATATATTTATTTATATATATATATATATATATATATATATATATATATATTATATATATATATATATATATATATATATATATATATATAAATGTAAGTTGTGTTAGTTACTACGCTTATAACTTAAGAACAGCTGGACTGATTTTAACGATTCACACAAATTCGGAGTTGTCTCCTCTCCGAAAAGGATAATATCCAGAAAAATCGCGTAAAAATGTGATATATTAACATTTTCATTTGACTTTTCAAATGTACAATAGTAATGTTTTATTTTGTATGATTTTTTTCCATTTTGACTTACTTTTTTCTAATGTACATTTGTAGTGTTTTTTATATTGTATTTTTGAATTCAAATATTAATACCAATTTATTTAATCGACTTGATTTCTTGAGAATTGAAATTGATGGCGGGTTACATGGAAGCGTAGTACCGAATTATATGGTGGCGAAACGGAATAGATGATATCGAAATAATTTAACGCGGTCACACCAAAAGAAAGATAATTATTAATTGAAAAATAATTACTTTGTCAAAATCGCTAAAAAAATCACGGAAAAGAGATCTCATTGCAAAAATTCTCAAATCGGGAAAAAATGATAGTAAGGGTCTTTAAACATTTGCTGTAATAAATCAGCGAACAGGTTGAAGATTTTTTTCAATTTGTTATTCTTCTTTTGTCATTTTTTTTTTCAATTTGTATAATCATATTGAATTCAGTGGATTTTTTGTGAACAAAATAAAGAATAATTTTTCACTATATACAATTTTTCACCAAAAAAAAAAAAAATGAAATAAGTGCGAAATACGATGTTAACTGACATCTAATTTTCGATTACAGGGCCGACATCGTGGTTCAGATGGAAGATGCGAACACATTTAAACAACCAAAAATGACAGAAAAAACCAAATGGAGCTCATTTCAAAGCGTGGACCTACTTCTTTCATGTGACAATAATCCGTCCAATGCAAAATTCTTTGGGAGTACAATCAGTAAAATACCAAATATAAAGGGTGGAAAATAGTAGAGCGAATGAGACTCTTAGTAAGAAAAGGATTTCTATCCTTCCAGAAATTCTTCACAAACATTCAAGATACCTTAAACCACTTTTGCAGGTCATGATATCGATCATAACTCACGATAAGGGTACATCCCGATTTCATATTTATATAACCATCATATGATTTAAGCTATTTTTGGGGTCTTGGCCACTTTTTTCATTGCTTGGCCCATATTTGGCATCATTGTCTCTAAGGGGTTAGGGAACCATCATACAGATAATTGCCACATGGGAATTTATTTAAGTAAAGTCCCCACATTGGAGTATACCCAAGTCCACTTTCACATATAATGTGTGGTCAGAAAATAAAATTTTGTATTCTATTGGATTTGTAACCCCCAAGACAATATTGGTTGGAAACGTATATTTGGGATATACATCTATATGAAATAAATTGTGGAAACATGAACAAATTACAAATATTTGAAATTAGCACGGGACCGAATATTTGTTGAATCGTCATTGAATTATACTATGATGAAAAATATGGTGGATAAAACTATTTTTACTCATTTAAATCACGCGAAATTTTTTTCAGTTGTTGTTGTTCTGTTATATTTTTGATTTGGTCTCTATTTGTCATATTGGATTATAAGGGCTAGAAGAATGTTTTCAATATAGGTCGATGTCTCGGAGTAGTGCCCATATAAAAGTACCTCCTGATTTTACCATATTTCAAAGGATTTGGCTAAAAATGTGTATTTGGGGGTGAAAATCTTACACAAAAATTTGAACACATCTACAAATTTTAGAATTTTTCCCTATAATAGTACCCCCTCAAGTCCACTTTTTGGCGGACAAACAGACCGACATGGTTAGAGGGACTTATAAGAACTCTAATGGACAATCTGAGGTGCTAATGGCTTTAAAAAAGTAATTTACTTTGGCTATTCTTAATTCATTCAACCCTCAATTATGAGGTGTACAAAATACAGTAAATTCCAAATTACTGCTCATTTGAATGGAAAATTATGCTACGATTTTTACCATACTAAAAATTAATTTGATCCCTTACATGGGGATAGAATTGAAATATACATTTTAATAGATTTGCATAGCACATCCGCACCTTTGAAGTCCACGGTTTAAATATTGAAGCCCACGGCTTAAATATGGGTACAGGTATTTAAAAAGCCTTTTAATCGACCAGTACGCGAACACTTATATCATTCATATCTTTGAATAATTATGCTTTGACAAATATGCATAATAGACAAAAACTACGGGCCGGCAACGCGGACCGGGCCAGCTAGTATATATATGTATATATATATATATATATATATATATATATATATATATATATATATATATATATATATATATATATATATATATATATATATATATATATATATATATATATATATATATATATATATATATATATATATATATATATATATGTATGTATATATTTATATTCTCTCAATTGGCATTTGTGTTTTGTGGGACTATACCTACTAGACATCTACCCTTTCACTTTGAATAAGGTTTCCAATATTCTCCCATAAAATTATAACATAGAATTGCCCGAAACTAAAAGTGTAGTGTATATTTTTCTATTTGGCAATGCTATCAATGTTTATTTATTTTTCCTTGCCACACACCTACGTCAATAGCATGTCTCATTTAAAGCTTTCTGTCATATAAAAGCTCTGCTATTATGTCACTCTAAATTTTAGAGTCTAAAATAAAATATGTTAATAAAATATAATTTCTATTAGCAGAAATGTTGCAATATTCAACATAAAATTAACATAAAATCTCTTTTCAATTTTTTTAACATACCTGTATTGCAATTTACTTGTTTAAATGGCTTGGAAGAAATCCTATTCACATTATTACTTTTTAAATTTTATTTTTAATTCACAAAACGCATTCACAAATATGACACAATTTTCACAAATAAAATGAGAGGACATTTAGATTGCATATTTTCATTTTTTTACATTGATTTAATTTTTTTTTGTGTAGCGTTAAGTACTAAAATAAGAAATGTTTCTTTCCCATAGTGTAAAAGCCTTTTTATTTTACGCGAGAAGTTCTTTGTCGTATTTTTTTCGTAAGCGCTTCAATTCGTAAAAAACATTGAAGCGCTTAAGCAAAAAAAAAAAAAAAAAAATACAAAGAACTTCTCGCGTAAAATAAAAAGGCTTTTACACTATGGGAAAGAAATATTTCTTATTTTAGTACTTAACGCTAAACACAGGCACGTTTATTAGAAATGAAACAGATTTTTTGGCTTATTAAACACACTTTCGAATCGAAACCATGCAGAATTAAAATACGACAATTTTTTAAGATTTATTTAATTTTCTTTAATTTACTTAGAACTTTTTCAATAACAACACGAATTTAGCATGAACGATTTGTTACACGACCGGCTGTTAACACTGCGACGAAGAACTGATTCTGAGAGGGAGACAAGGAAACAAAAAGCTTTTCGTCAAATAAGAAATGATTAGGCAGGAAAGATATTGTAGAGGAAAAGGAAATCGAATGAAATATTGATGGAAGAGATTAAGTGAGGGGAACAGTCTACTTCTTTACATTGACTCAGCTTTTACTACTCACACGCACACACACCTTCGTTTTTGCAAACATTTTGCAATATTCTCCGACGGAAGCCGACATATTATTTACTCTATTCTCACTAATAATTGAGAACGGAACACAAATACAACACAGGAGCTTAACCATAACGCC